TTTGGCACAACAGGACATAGAAAGTGTTAATTATTTAATCCTACACATTACTGTATTTAAAATTTCAATCCCATTATTTTCCCCTAAACATTAGTAAGTTTTAATAAAAGCACTTTGCAAGAGCTATAAAAAGCTATGCTAATAAAAAAGAAAGAAAAATCATTACACCAGCCTCAAATACATGAAGAGCATTACAAAATGCCTATCTGTTACTGTTCTGCTGTTAAAATCTTCCAAACTAACTTCCATTACTGTGGCTGAGGGCAAGTCTTTTTAAAAGCTTCAGATAAACAACAACAAAAAGCTCTTCTTTTGAAAAAGAAAAAAAGCTTTTTACATTGATTCATACTGTACCACATGGAATACAATTTCCTAGCACCTTAATATCATTTAGCAGCAATTGTAAATCTAACTTTTGGTGCTGCCAGCTTCTTGGGATACTTAATGTCAGCTTCCAAGACATTTACTGTAAGAAATTGCCCCCAAGCTGTTTTTAATTAAAATTTGGTCAATAGTTCTCTCTAGAAGACAAGAGATGGTACCTAGCTAAAGGAAATAGGAATATCATCAAATCAAATGGATGATTTAAAAACAAACTCTTCACAGAAGAATTATGAACAAAATATGTAGTGAGTGTTACAGTTAAGACACTGTTCACCTGCATAATTGACTAAGTTGCTGGCTTTTTTAAACAGCAGAGCAGCACACTCAGCCTTTCTCCAGAGAATAAGCTTTCTTTGAACTATATTTCCTATTTTCGCAGATAAAGTGCTTAAGAATCACACTGGGATTCCAAGTGTAAGTCAGRTCCTGAAACATTCAAGGACAAAGTTCAAAACATTTCCTAATTGGTATAATCAAATGTTAATGATTTCCTTCAATCCCTACTTGGTGCCTTTTGAGGGGCATGGGAGCAGGCAAGGGTCACTTTTGGAAGCCTCATGTTAACGTGCAGATTCAGATGAAATATAATCCTAGAGAATGCTTAGGAAAAAAAAAACAGATTATAACCTTGTAACACTATAATGCAACAGTATCAAGGACGTGACTAAATAGCCATGCTTTACTGCTAACACCGTTTCCTTAATGGTGTATTATCATGATTATGACTCTTATTCAGTATACCAGTATTTGCATTGCTACCATTCTACAAGTTTTAAAATAATACAGTTTTTACATAATTTATAACATAAACAGCACTCTGAAGGACAGAAATGCAGTGGTAACATTTAAATGTTACTCTGGAAGTTAATCAAAGGTCATTTTGAAATGAAATACTTAACAGAAAGAATTTTCTTTTCCACCTTTCAACCGAATTCCAATTTACTCTGCACTGAGCATCAGTGCATTTCCTCCTTTAAGTTCCCTTTCTTCCCACAAACACAGTCTAGCCATATCACAGTACCTGGTGATCTGGYAAGAGAGATTTGTATTGCAGTAGACAGGACAAGGAAAAAAAAAATTTAAGTATTTATAATGAGATGATGTTCAGTTTTGACTACAGAGCTCTCTCCAAGCTTCCCTTTGTATTATAAAGAATCTTCTCCTATTACTTAATTTAGCAGATGAGAAATATAAGATATTAAATGAAGAATAAAATAGGAGCTTTATTGCTGCACTGCCCCTGCCTTAGAAGGCTCGTGAGTCATAACTTCCTTATGGGCCTTAGCCCCCCCGCTTTCCCTTCTACACTTCAGCAGATGCCAAGAATCCAAACATCAGCAGCGAGAAAGAGGAGAAGCTTCCTCCCTTATCAGAAGAGATGCCCATGGGCAAAAAAAGCATCACTAACACTATCCACTTTAGTGTCGGGAGAGGGGAAAGATTAGAAAACCCAGATACTAGATTTTTAAAGCCAAATCCCACTCCTACAGCTATTAATTTGAGAATGAAGGATATTCCTGCACATTGTTTGTTGGTGGATTTTGTGATTTGCTTTGCTTTCTTTTGTTCAGAGGGAGGCTGGATTCAAAGGTGGAGAGTAGGAAGAAATAGTCTGTTTTTCGATTACTGCATACAAATATCCACCTGACAGCTGCTAGCCACGTGGGAACTTTGAGGGGGGGTTAATTTTGTTTTAAACTTCATGGGAAGATTAAACTGCAGAATTGCTGAACAGCTTCAAAGATGACCAGAGGTTCACAACCTGTGGTAGGGAAGACGCTTCCTATTTTCAACTCAAATTCAAAAGATTAAAGTTTCCAGCTTGATATCTTTAAAGGATAATTAAACTATCCCCTAATAGCTTAGCATCAAGGGATAATTGCTCCTCATCCAATCAACAGACTATGCTGTCACAGAGTTTGCAACTAATTAAGTTGCAGATATGAACAACTGCAGACTCGCATTTCCCTTTTCAGTCTTTAGATTAAGAGCTAGTCCAAGTAGAAGACATTCCTTCCTGAACAACTATACTAAGGATTTTATTGTAAATACAAGCGATGCGCCGAACAGTCTCCTTAACCTACAGCTTCATAAATCCTGCAGCGATGTCACGGTCAGCAAGTCTCTCTTGATTAACAGCTGCCTATAGCACCGTTGCGCCGCGCCGCAGATTTGTAGCAGCATTTCCTGATGAGATTCCTCACGCTAGCATTTTCCACAGTTTTCAATGGACAAACTGATCCTTTTCCTTGCTCGACAGTTAGTATGAGCTAAAAAATGTCTCCAGTCAGGCTGCCTGAAAGCATGGACAGAGCCTCCCCATAGAAACTGCGGCCTCTCTGATGTCAGTGGGAATTTCCTGCTGCCTCCAACATATCCAGGATTTAATCATCTCTCTTCAGACCTCTTTTCCCCTAAATATAGCATAGGACTTGCATGATTCTCCCTGTCAATAAGCACAAAAGATGGACCACGAGGGCAACGCTGGGGACTTGGAAGCAGCAAGAGCAGTGCACATAGGAAATATGGATAGTGCACGGAGCAGAAAGAACAATCTTAGAAGCAGCCCCACTTATTTACATGTGTTTAACTTAGAGGCACCAGGGAAGTAAAGAGAGGTTGCCAATTTAGGAAAACATTAATGCAGAGAGGCCGTGGGGCCTTTGGCAAGYAGCCAGGGCACCCTGGGTGCCGCAGGAGTCGCGGATGGCCGTTATCCCGTGCCCGCAGCTGGACTCCAGCACCCGCTGCACTCAGGCCACCGCAACCAGGCGCCTGCTGGAGGCGCGAGCGGAGCGGGGACTTACGGCAGATGCCACTCAACAAACTCAGGTGGGATCAGGCTGGAAATCATTTCTCTGCAGACCAATGCATGCATCTCTCCACAAATCAATGCTCATTTTTCCCTCTAAAAGTCTCCAAAGAAAGCACCAAATATTTTCAGAGAAAAATCACAAGCAGCCCATCCTTCTTAACTATACAATTATGTTTGAGTAATTTTAAAACATGTAGCTTCTCTTGGTTAAAATCCTACATCTCAATCCCATGTCTTGATTTAAGACACACAGTATGGATTAAACTTAAATGTTGATTTAAATTAGATTCACTTTGTATTTTGCCTTATAAAACCAGAACTACTCCAGGACAAATGGTTAGTTCAGCTCCAGGCTATTAACTAAGGGAAAGGGCAAGTTCATTTKCAAACACTTCTGCACAATCTTAAAAACAGAGTCACATCCACTTCTAGTTCTTTAAAAGACTACTGTGTCACATACAAAGCAGTGCCCCTAAAGGAAAAAAAAATGTAGAGAAATAATAATTCCAGTTACTATTACAGTTCACCCTATAATTCTATACTTTTTGATTTTTCTTAAAGGAAGTTTCATTTTATTTCAGAATAAATACATTGGGAAAGATTTTAGAATAAATACATTGGGATATATACATATATGATATGTATATAAATATGATACATATATAAGCGATTCTCCCGAAGGCTCATGCCAAAAGACAAAATGTGGATCATATTGACTGTGAATGACTCCATACAATGCAATATATACTATAAAACATAGCATAGCAATTTCACATGGTACTTTCTTCCACCATGGTGAAAGATACTATTCCAAACGCTAAGGCCAAGGGTATTTTTTGGAATAATATCTAATAGTAACAGAGGAGTTTTGATAAACTGAATTCAAAATAGTGTCAATTCAATCTTCTTGCCTTACATTATTTCTAATGCTCATTGTTTGTAAATTTTGAACTAAAACTCCAGAGAGACGATTTTCCTTTGAATTTCCTTTAAATAAACACTGCACTGTTACGACTTTAAGACATTTTGCAAAACTCTTGGGAGTACAGCCTTAAATTATGTAAAAGCAACGCTCTGAAAGAATTATTTATGAATAGGTCTTTGAAGGAGCATCAATTTTGCTCCTTTAATCTCTGTATAATGTTATAAGCATTTTAGCTCCACATACTATTTCATATCCCTTAACTTCAAAAGTTACATCCTGATCAAATTAGGGGGCTGACTCTTCAAAATTTAAGTAAAGCCCAGCTAAACCAAGAAGGATGCAGTGATGGGCGGGCAAAGCAGCATTTCCATGCCCGGCAAGGCTCATCAGGCCACGGGACCGTTACTTTTAACGCACGTTTTGTCGCCTTACCTGCCTCTCAGCCGCGAGCGTGGAGCGCGTCCCACAGCAGCAGCAGCAGGTAGGGGGATGGAGACAGAGCTCAGAGCCTGGGCGGTTTAGTCTCCAGAGTGTCCCTTACTAACCTGGGAAGTGTCACRGCTGCGCAGCACGTTGTGCAGCGGCCACGGCTGCTGCGCACCTGAAAAGCTCTAGTTCAGCAGGGACTTTTTTTGACTCCTTCCAAGAAAGAGGCAGCCCAAGGCAGTGGGTTTAACGGCAGCCCCTGTCAGTCAGGTTSGGTTTTGGTAAAAGGCAAAGGGGAAACTCCGGGGCGCCCCTCGCGAGGCAGGGTCCCACGCGCGGCTCTTCACAGGAGCCCTTACAGGTTCCCCTCGCGCCTCGCCCTGGAGCCGCCTCCTGCGGCGGGCGTTTTGCCGGGCCGGGGTGGGGGGTCGCGGCGCCGCCGTTACTCACCGGCGCGAGGCGCGCGCCCGGCGGCGGGACCCGGCTCGCCGAGGAAGGGCGCGAAGAGGCAGGTGAGGAGGAGCAGGGGGCGGCCGCCGCGCGGCGCCGCCATGGCCGGGACCCGAGCGCAGGGAGCAGCGCAGGACGGGGCGCTGCGGAGGGCGCCGCCGCCGGGGAGCGCGGGCCACGCCCCGCGGAGCCGGGGGCGGGAGCCGTTAGAGCCGTTGGAGCCGTTAGAAAGGGGCGGGGCGCTGCCCGCCCTGAGGTGTCGCCGCCGCGGCGCGGGGCGAGGCTGAGGCACCCCGAGCAAAGGCGCCGTCCCGCCCGCCCCCCGCAGCCCCGAGGGAAGCGGCAGCGAAGGCGCCCGCGGAGAAGAAGCGCSTTCCTGCCTCAGCACGTGCTCGGGAGGCCGCCGGGAGCCGAGCGAACGCGTCCCCGCCTCGGTTCATCCTGCCTTCCCTTCTGGATTATTTTTTCCCCCAGTTTCTAAAAAACGGGAACTTTGCATTGAAATTAAGCTAAAGGCAAGACCTTTACAGGATATTTACATCTTTATCTCTCATATATATATTATATATGTAATATACATAATGTATCAAATGAATAATCAATACCAAGATTTTTTTCCTCTCTGGTGTGTTTTAGGAAGGAAACTCTTGAGAAACATCAACCGTGAAAGGTAATTAGTCATTTTCCCTAAATCTGCCTCGTGTAAATGTACACGTTGTCACAGAAAATAGGAGMATCTGCTATAAGCCATGCTTTTTTTTACATTTAGGACAGTGTTCAGTAATATTTTCACATTTATAGAGAGAAAAGAGTGGTAGGATGGTTAAATGGCTTTACAGGAGGGCTGTCAGCTGCTACATAAGAAGTGCTAAATACCAGATTTCCTGGGGAAAAAAATAACCTCATTTAGTTCAGATCATTGTTAACAAATTTGCACCTTCCTAAAATTAGTTTTATGCAGACTAGCAATTCATGATATATATTGTCAACTATTGAAATAATTTAATATCAGGCCCCTTATATATTAGGAAAATAATGCATCTACTTGCATATATCATAAAACTTTAATGATGTCAGGAAGACTTAAACTTTTCGATCCTCCTGTACAACTTTCTGATTTTCCTTTTTGCCCTGTCTTCTTGCAGCCATAGATCTATGTAGCGCATCGCTGCAAGGCAACGCAGGCAGCGGCTGCCCGCGCGGCGGTTCCTCCCGGCACGGGGCTGTTGTGCGGCTGTATCGATCAGCGGGCGCTGCAAGGAGCAGGGTCACGTCACAAATCGCAAACCCTTTGTGCGCTGCACGTCCTGCACTGGCAAAACGCGTGTGGAGGACGCAGTGTTCGACTCTTTACTTTGAAATTCTCAATGCATTCAACTGCTCAGACCATGATTTTATGTAAACAAATATATTTATCGCAAAATATGCTAAAAGAAGATCCTTTGTGAGACATTGGAATAGGATAGTTTGAGTGGCCCCAGAAACCTCAGGCAATTTTAATCAAGCTTCCATAGTTGTAGTTTTCACTACAGCTGTGGAAGTTTCAACTGGTCTACCCTGTGCTGCACTCAGTCTTCCTAGCTTAAGAGTGCCATATAAAAATCTGTATTTCTATTAACAGTGCATGTGTACTACATCAAATGCAGTTGTGAGCCACGCGGCCCTGCTAGCGGCACTGGACGTAGCTGCCACTCATAAAGGGCAGGATAGGGCAAACTGCTGTTGCAACAGAACCAAGAACTTCTCTGCAGATGGGGCTGAGCTGGGCAAAACAGATGCTTCAACATATAAAAGCCTTAAGCTAAGTTACACACCCAACATATCGATAAATATTTTATGTAGTGTCATGTAGCACACATTACGTCTTTGTTACCATTATAGAAAACCATCTAAGATATCATTTTGCTTTTAAATCTGGAGAATTTTAACAGCAGCCTGCTAAGTCCAATACTTAACAGCGAGTGAAATCCTGAACAATTACAAGTGTATTTCTGTTATCTTTCACTGGGCCTTTCTCTGAAGTTGGCATCAGAAGGCCTCACTGAAGCAGCATCTGTGAATCTCCAGCGAAGGGGTTGATAGCAGCTTTTCCTATGAAAAGTACTTGACCGTGAAAGCCAACTTACCCTATTAACCACAGATAAAAATAGGAAGCTGCTCAGTTCTATTTGTAAAAGCAGAATTGCTTTGAAAATTTTCTGCCAAACCAAGTTCTCTCTTGATTAAAGCCCAGAGCTATATAACCAGTGAATGGTACTTACCCCTCTCCCCCACCCGCTTCCCTCCAGAAGCATCTTTCATGTTGTAATTTGCAATTTTAGCATCTTTCATGTTGTAACAGAAATAACTGCAGTTAAAACTTTAGGAGGAGGACATCTTTTACTACAAAAAATAATGGAGAACATTAATAAAGATTCAAAGCACATGCAAGACAATTTTAAAAAGCACATCAGGAGAGTCTTGTCAGAAGCTATAGCATCCTATCTTATGAATTACGAGTACATTAATTCTTTGGACTTAGATGTCTTGTTACATCCTGAGTTGTATATCCCCTGTGTATCATGTACTTCTGTGGTCTCTAAAACCATTGCATTTGATCACTTCGTAATCATTACTTTCTTTATTTCCACAGCACAGTGAAAGAGACTATTGTCCCTGTTTCAAGATTGATAACAGAAAGAGTAAGTAATTACACATTGGGAATTCAGAACAAAACAGAAGTCTGAGATTTAACATACACAACTCCTTGGTTTATCATCTTAATTTGCATGCTTTTACAACTTCATGCCAAGGAAAACTATTTGGGTGAACCAAGAAGTGCATCTAAAGGAATCTTTTGTCTTTCAGTGCRCAATACAGTAAGTCATATATGAAGTAGCCTTAGAAGTTAATTTGACTTTATTTGAACAGAGTTATAATCATCTAGAGAACAAGCTGACTTATAACAATGACAGATGCAAGAGACAACACAGGTATTACTGGAGAAGCATTAGTTTCATTATATCTCTTAAACTACCTAGAATAACAAAATACATTACAGTTTATTAGGACAATTTATTTGTGAATACTTGTCCTAAGTTCTATCATGCACTCAAATRAGATATAAACTATCCAGTCTTAAATTTACTAACAACTTATTATGCAAGCAGTTTCAAGTAAATACTGTTATCTAATTTGAAAAAAAAAAAAATATCACCTTCCACAGCACCACATGAAGTTCTGGTGTTAAAATAACATTTAAACCACAGCAACAGCTAAATAGTTGAAATACTATATAACATATTATAAACTCTTCCCACTACATACACCAAAAATAAACATACAAAGGATAGGAAGATCATTTTGATTAGCAAAGACAACTCAAACATATCGCCAAAATCATTTTTCTGTTCTTACGACATATCCCCAAGTTACTCCCAGAAAAGGCACAGGCAGTATGGTGTGGTTTTTTTTTTTCATTTTTCTTTTTGTATTTTTTTTTTTTTTTTTACACAAAGCTAGAAACTACACAATAGGTCTATGCAGTCAAACACTGCTCTATTCCTAGGAAAAACAGGTAAGAAACTTCAATTAGTGTAAGGATATCCCCAGAAGATTCTAGTCAATAAAAGATCTCCAGCATCTGTTTACTGTCCTAGATTCAAATACAGCCAAGAATCAGAAATTAAATCTAGTTTAGAACATTACTGTACATCTTAGATRTGAGTGCCAACTACTGTACAGCATATTGGAAATGTTACAGTTACTTGTCTATTCCAAGGCAGTAGTGAGACTCTTCTCACAGTAAGCTAGTAATGGCACTCAGTGGAGTCAGCACTTTTTGAATTAAACTGAATTATTGTTCAGAGATTATGCTCTTAGAATATTTCACAATATTCTTATTTTCTGTAAATAAAACCTTTACATAAAAATGTTTTAAAAGGTAGTGTAACTACACGGCTTTTCACTATGTTTCCATACATAACAGAATACAGATTAAAAAGATATTTAAATCATTCCCAGATTAGATTATTACAGTAGCTACAAGGCTCTCCTTTACCAGCAAACGATGCAGTGTTTGGCAAAGAAATACTATCGGTAACTCTTTAAACAAAATCCAAATGTATTTGCTTTCCCCTCTTTAATTGTTAGAAACAGAATCATTAAAAAAATAGTAAATACATATCCTAAACTATCTAATAATACTTCTACTAATACACTAAACAGATTGCCTTGTGTGATTTATATACATCTATGAGCCCTGACTTAACTGCTCTAATGGATTGCCAGAAGACATGTATACAAAGCATTGCTGGAGTTTACCACATTTTAAATGATCTCTGACAAAGTTAAAAAGATCGTTTTGGCATTACTGCTTTTAGGACATGTTCCAAGCACTTTACATAACAACCATCATGAATGATCTAGCAATCGGCAAGAGTGCTTAAATATTGCATTCATAGTATCAAAGAACAAAAGGAAATGGAGCACTTTGTAAAAAATATATGTATATAAAACCAGCTTGAGGTATTCAACAACCCTTTATAATGGAAACGAAAACTTGCTCACTGTATGCTGCAGGACTGCCACTACTCAGGCCTTGTTGCACAAAACACTGCTCCTACTTCACTGTTTGGAAATAAGGATCTTCCTTTGCAGAAGGCGCAAATAAAATTTAGTCTAACTTGTATTAACTACAAAGTGGGCTGTATACAGTCTAAGTATGGGACTGAAGCAGTTGTCCCACACTGAGACCTACAAAACCACTCAGCAGCGGCTGCAGCCTACGCAGGACCCAGGTCTCTGTACGTGTCTCTACAGACGGCGCCCCGTCCACGCAGGCTACAGCAGAGAGCTCAGATTCTTCTCAACAATGACTCTTACAGCAGGGAGACCAGAAACGGGGTCTGTTGAGACTAGGGGCAATTCTTGGCCATTTGGGGGCAAAGTACCTTTTATCAGGCCAAAGTGTCTGGGGCAGATTATAATAAAACACAGTATGCATTTACTCAGATTCTATAAGTAATCATATCAAATGCCTTAAATATGACTTTTTTTGGGGGGGGGGGGGAATAAAAAGGACATCCCTAGAGTACAATCTCACTCAGTCACAGAAGGTTAAATTTGAAGCTACTTCAACGTTTAGTGAGGTAACCAAAGTTGAAGGTTAAAGCTGAAAGTTTAAGTTAAGCAGAAAAAGTCTCTATTAAGATTATTAAGATTCTGTCAATGAGCTGAGATTTTCAATCTGCTTCTGTTAACTCAAGGGGAGCAAGTTTCAGTAACTTTTTACATCACTTTGACTTAAGTCTAGATCCATTTCCCTCAGAAGTAGGAGAGATTTTATTTCATCTCAAAATCACATTTTGAATTATTTTGCATTCAGCAGAGGGATAGGGACAAATGGAACAACAACAACAAAAACCCTCAAATTTCTAGTCCATGTATAAATATTATGATTTCCCAAGACATTAACTGTTTAGTTAGTTCTCTGACAGACAACAGTTTAGAAAAGGGAATTAAATTCTTTAGGGAAATACATTAAMATTAAACTAAAGAATATAAAATACTCCTTTTCCTTTCAGGATAAAATGCAAAATAGTCAACATGGCCTAAAAACATGCCAAAACATCTCCTTTAACTTTCTATATGTTAACAAAGACTACTGTATAGTTAGCTTAGCATTTTCATGTGGCCTTTGTAAAATGTCTTTCTAACTTGTGTGAAAATAACTACTGTGATATGACTAATTTCTTATAAAACGCATACAGTCATGATAGCCTATGATAAACTGAACATGTCTGCTACAGGGCATGTTCGAAACTACTGCTTTTAAGAACATCAGCTTGACATAGCCTGTTAGAAAACAAAACTGGCCAAAATTAAACTAGGCATGCCAGCACACTCCAACTCTGCATTTGTGAAAATGCCTCACAAATGATTTTCAGAAATTAAGAGCCCTTTTCACTACTTAAAAAAAAAGTTACACATACACATAAAATTCTAACAATTTCAACACTGTACTTCTTCACCAAGTAGCATATAGCTTGTTTTAATACCTGAAAGCAAGTAAATTCTTTCAAAGTTGTACATACCCAGGTATTACTCAGGAAATAAAGACACCCATTACTCTTCTTCTTAATTTTATTCCATAATAAAAAATAGAGACAAAAGAAAGTGTTCAAGAATTAAAGCAATTATTTTTCAGTGTAAGGAGTGGTAAACTAATTATCTGAATGATGATTAAGGACCTGGCTCATCAAGAGTATTCTTGGTCCTCCATGGCATATTTGTAGGCTTCTACGAAACAGAAATCCGGATTATCTTTTACTGAAGCAGGTCCTATGCTATCTACAGAACACCTGATTTCATGTGCTATTTATCTTTTTCCTTTTGTTCCTTTTCCTTCTTTTCACGTTCAGCTTTTGCTTCTTCCTCCTCATGTTGTTTTATCAACTGCTCCACCTCCTTTTGCTTCAGAACCCTTATTACCGTCTTTCCATTTTCTCTTGTCAGTGTTGCAATCTCAACTGAAATATATGGAACACATAGCAGCATTATGTTTTTTCCTTTTGATGGAATGATCATCAGAAAGGCAAGATTTGCTGTTAAAACTGACAATGAAGCAGAAGGCTCTTGTCCTGACTCTGCTTAAATAAAAAAGCTTGCCTGGTGAGGCAGGTGGCAGCAGTTCTCTTCTACAGCATGCACAACAAGCACGTTACTACCTCTCCAGTGACTCTCTTACCAGCCACGTGGCCATTTCTGCTGCATCAACTTGGCTGTGGCCTAAAGTGACCCCTAAACTGTGCTCTAGTCTCTGCAGCTGACAAAGATGGATCATCTTCTGCCAAGTCATCTGTATGCCCATTTGCAAGGTTAAGGCTAAGCTGCTGCATCTTCAAACGCACCATTTTAGTAATTGCTGATTTTTACCTTATCATTTTTCTATGGACATGCCAGCACTGTGTGTCACTGGGAGAGGAGCAGAGGGAACCACACAAAACCCTGTAAGCCACATGCAGTACATATGCATTCAATGCATTTTCTTTTTTTMTGCCAAGGATGTTACCTCCTATGACACTGACGAAATGCTTACCTTTCTCTGCAGAGAGCTTGCTAACATCCATGGTTTTGTTTAGAACCTTAATGGCTAATGCAAGTGCAGTCTTTAAGGTCATTTCTCCTTCTTTGTAGTCTTGCTTTAGCATTGACACAGCTGCCTATAAAAGTCACAGAATATTAAAATGATAACTTTGTGCAACTAGCCAGTAAGTTGCTTTTCTGTCAGAGCCATTAAGACAAAGTAACACCAGTATTGCTAGAGATTATCTACGAATCAACAATTGAGCTCAGTTATTAAGACTGTAATTTACATATTTTTGTTTCACTTTTTGAGAAGAAAGAGCAGAACTTACAGCACTATTATTCCCAATGCATGTAGCTTTCCATCCTCCATAATTTCCACTAGGATCACTTTGATAGAGCTGAAATCCATAATGCTTATCCCAGCCAATGTACAGAAGAGAAACACCAAAAGGACGTTTTCCTGTTGAAGAGAGCACTATTAACAATCCAAATTTAGCAACAAGATTGGTCATGAGTGACAATTATTTTCTTTGATTTCCCTTTTCAAATCCTTTCCTGTGAACTAGGATTTAATAGTGCTTCTGTTATTTGAGATAAGCAGTACTGTAAGCACTTCTTGCGTTTTACTAAGTCATAAGGGGAAAAAAAAAAAGTCTAGCAGAGATTTATTTCATTTATTTCATTTAACCTTAATAGCAGCTCATTTCTGACTCTATAAATTGGCCTTTAAAATCCTATCCCAGGATTTTAATTCAAAACTTATTTTTAAGGTATGTAACTTCTAACATACATATCTTGACAACTTCAAAGGCAGGCACATTAAAAGGTGATTCTTTCACACTACAGATATATAGAATACCAGAACAGCCATTTTATTAGCAACTTGCATTGTAACATTTTTACTATTATCAGGAAAAAGTACAATTAAGGTACCCTCTTACCAATTCCTAACATGATGCTAGATCCTCAGAAGTATTTTTTTTTGTTCAAGTGTTGTGATATTGGCACACTCRTACTTGTATTGGGAAGCCTTAATTGTGAATCAATCATTTGGTACATATAAATAAGTCTGTCACTGGTCTAACTCTCAGCCATCAACTTCTCCATGACTGAAAAGCATCTGTTTCACTAGCAAAACAGAAGTATTTTGTTAGTGTTAGTTGTAACACTAACACTGTGTCCTCATCACTTACATTTTTTATATATATGATATATATATTTTTTGTAGGTATGTTACAAAATAATTTTGTAAAGTGTCCAGAGATTCAAATGTTACAAGTTATGCAACAGAGTAATTCTTCARACATTTAAAAGCACAGTGTTTCATTGCCCTCCATTACCTCCGAACTGTGTGTAAGCCTGCTTGATATCACACAGTGCTGTTACCAGTTGTTCACAAGGAATAGGCTCTTGGTACTGTAACAGGTATCTGGTGAGGAAAAGAAATCAGTCTCCATAACTTCTTTCACTGACTTAGTAATTTCAGTAAACAACATAAATTATACCAATAATAGCTCTATTTAATTTCTTTTAGGATTAAAATGTGGATTCCAGAATGCAAAGTTGATACACACTTAAGCTGCCAGTATACTATGATTCTAGCAAGCAGTTTGTATCTTAGAAAAAGCTGCACTTTTATTTCAAGGGAGCAATAGAGCAGTAGCTCAGCTCAGCCTGGCCAAAGAAACTTGCTGAAACACCTAAGTATATACTCCTGGTCCACATGACAAGAGGCACTACCACCAGCTGGGTGGGAAAGAACAAGCCCCTAGCGACTGTTGCAAGACAAATCAATTGTAAGACACAGGCCAATATTATTTTGAAAGGATCAATGAAAAGCACTTAAACTCCACATTTTACCACCTCACTTCTAAATTTAAGAAATTAGGTTCAGATTCTTATTTTCGTATGGCTCGCAAATAGAAATCTGCAAAAACAGCCAATGAGTATTATAACCAAAATAATATACAGAATAACCTGAAAAGACCATTCTGCTTAAAAGCAAGATGCTTTGCTTAAACAGAAAGAACATTCAGTGTCTCTGTATCTCACTATTATATCAGGGAGACAGTAGTCAGCTGGGAGAGACAAAAGGAGGTGYCTTTGAACATTAGAACATTATGTCCAGAACAGCTGCTTGTAACTTTAAAGTCACAGAGTGACAAGACAGCTGTAAGTTTGTAAGAGTAATGAAACATCTTGTACACACTCAAGCATGCTCTGAAACATAGAAAAGGAAGGGGAAATAYACAAAAATGGACTCCGTGGCCTTAYATTCCATAGGGCAGTTTGATGTTTTGATTTAGAAATGCTCTTCTTTATAGGAGCACCTTAACAGTTGCATTGAGATGAAACAGGATAGTCAAGACCTAATTCTAAAATAAGCAGCTTTCCGTTGTGGAAATGTTTCTTTATAGAAATTTCTTTTACGTTTTGACATATTAGCAACTATACTGAAATTTTAGCAGCATAAATCTCCTATGCAAGGCTCTAATTGACATAAACCAGATTAAGTTACTTACGGTGGCTGATAAATACACAGAGGAAAACAATGCTACTAGATGAATCAAAACATAGGGAAACTAAGTAGTAAACTGTAGCCACCTAGACTAAGATTTAGCAGTGTAAAATGCAGATGAATCATTTTTCCCTGCTTTCCATTTTCTTCAAATATCCTCCAAATATATTTGCCTAATTATTTTTTTCCCCAGTATTTTACCTTTTCACCATAAGATTAGTATAAAGACCTAATCTCATTATGCACAATATTTTAAGAATTGTATAACAGTAAGAGTCCGCAGTTCAGTTTGACAAGTATCTTGATATGTCATTTAGGGAAAAAACAAACAAACAAAAACCCCACACTTCCAAAATGTAAACTTCTTTAATCTAGCTGATTCAATTCAAATAACTGAACTGTACTRAGTGCATAGAAATCTGACATCTCAGGCAAGTAAAACAATTCAATCATCAGTAAACCTACCTCTGCGCGATCAGTCTCAGTTCATTTGTCAGAACATTGGCATCTGAAGTTATCCCAGCAACACTGCAGGCCATATCCCTGCAGTACAAGCATACAGTTTAACCAGGCCCTACCGATCTCTGAGGAAGRGTCACATCTTCATATAGTGTTTTTTAGCAGAACAGTTACTGTTGGGTTTTTCACATCAAAACCACACAGCTGCCACACAAAACAGATTCAGAAGCGCCTGCTTCTAGGTTACTCCACAGACAYATTATCATTTCTTAAGAGTCATGGTACACAAAAAAAAAGCGATCGAGTCAGTCTGTTAGTTACTAAGAGAAGGATTGTGCCTCAGCCAACTGAGTTCTAGACACTAATGAGATCCGGAGTATCTTCACAGARGCCATTAGCTGCACACAGGACCTACTGAGAGGCCACCTGGCACACACAAAGCATGTCCTATTATTAAAGAAACCATACAATGTGTGAGGGACCTTCAATGCAAGTTAGCATACAGCGTAGGGTTTATTACGTGGGATTTCAGTTCTCCTCCCACAGTATTTTGCAAAACTAGGAATCASTAGTGATGCAACAACACAGTCTAGATTATTCCATATGGAAAATTCTCTTTAAGTGGTGACTGTTTTAGGGGGAGATTTATTAAAATGAACAACCACAAATAACCACTTTAAAAAAAAGAACAAGAGTTAAAACATTTAAAATGTTATTATTCCGACATTTTAGTATTGAACCATGTTTTATTACTGATAACATCAGCAGATCTCACACATTGTTTGAACTTACTCGTTGAGTTTGTATATTTTCTCTGAGAAAAAGACTTCATCGAGAAGTTTGTGAATGTTGCGTCTCTCTGCTGCTAGCAGAACACCATCATTTGCTAGAATTCCCAAGCAAGTACCTGCGTGTCCAATTGCTTCCATGGCATATTCAACCTGATACAAGCGACCTAGGAGAGGGTTTCAATTAACAAGATCAATCAAGTAATGCTGAAAAGGACTGATCATACAGAGTCGTTAAATTAGTAAGAGCTTGACAGATGCCAAATGCACAATCCAGGATTAGTTCTTCAGCTTGTAACTGGGTGTTAGTGAACTAATTAATTGAAAAAGGAGAAAGGTATGGGGAAAGAAAATCTTCAATTATGAAATAATACAGAGTGCCATCAAAGTGGGGCAAAGAAGCCTTCCTTCTATGGAAGACAATATTTAACTAAGTAACCTGCAAAATTGCTCCAGTAGATTGAGAAAGATGAATTTTCCATAAAGACTAAGTAGTTTGTGTGTGCTCAACACTTATCAGGGGATAACGCATATAAGCAGTTAATTCCTATYCTGATCCAAGAACACCATTACACTTGGCCCATAATAACAAATCAATATTGTTCTTACCTTTATCTTCATATAAACAAATCCTTGAAGCACCACCATTTTTTATACTGCACTATTTTATACTATAAAAATGGTGCTAAATGGAATATTAATTCCTTATCAAGTTAAGGCCCAGCACTTGAGTCAGTATTTGACTGAGAAAGAGTCATTACTACATCTGCCTTCTAAGAAGCACTAAATAAGCGTAAAGCCTACATTAGTTTCATGCTATTCTCCAGTTCTTTCATACCTCTGACCACTACTGATAATTTTTTTTCTTTTCCCTTCCCCGAGTCCAAATCCATCTACGAAAGAGGAAAGGAAGGCCTGGAAGCACTCGTGTACACGCGCGCCCAAACAGGATAATGCGATTGTCCTGCCAGGACAATACAGATTTTCTATGGTGAGCACAAAAAGTATTAGCATCCCTCCATACTCAGAAGGTAGATAAGAAAGACTTAAAAAAAGGAGAGGATTTGATCTGGGTGTACGTGTATACTCGCTAGGGGGGCATCTCAGCATTGCTTGAACTAGCACAAACTAATCTGTAAATCTCTCATTTGAGTCTTGGCACYCATCCAGGACACAGTGCTACTGCTAGCAGCTAAATGGGATTTATGTAACTCGCATATAGATTGAAGCACGTTTTAAACAGCCCTCCTTCCTATAAATGGCKTATTATTGATTTTTGGGAGGGACCGGTTAGGGCATTCAGAGGATCCGCACGGCTGGGTTTAAAAATACCTTCCGGAGAAAAGATGGTAGTTCTGGAGTCATATCTTCGAGACTGCAAAGAGCAACAGAGCGTTAATCGGGGCCGTTCGCTGCTGGGGACGCGCCGCTTGGCGCCACGCGGCGCCGCGCCCGCCCTAACAAAGCGGCGCGGCCGCCCCCGCGCGCCCGGCC